TTTTTTTTTTTTTTTTACAAGAACAGCTCTTCATTCATTTCTTTCCTGTTTGTCTGATGTAGCGTTAGTCACAGTCTCTGCAGGGAATCTTGTATATGACATTTTGTCCTCCGAAGATTCCCTGCAGAGACTGTGACTAACACTACATCAGACAAACAGGAAAGAAATTAACCACAAGGGTACACGAACATCATTTGGCTACAAAAAGACATGACCAATACTCATTCATCTATATCCACATGGATAAGGAGAACCACCAATTCGACTGGAACAACACCTAGATCCTGGGACAAGCAAAGCAGAGACAAGCACGGGAATTCCTAGAAGCCTGGTACTCCACAACGAAAGCCATGAACAAACACACAGAGCTAGACCCCATATACACTTCACTGCGAAGGAAAACTGGAAGTGAGGTAATCCAGCTCAACGGACTCCAGAGTTTAAATAACAGGCGGGAAAACACAACGGTGCTTCATTGGAGGTTGCACTGATGACGTTACCCAGCAGGGTAATGAAACGTCTGCGGAACAACGAACCAGCTTGGTGAGCCAACCAACCACAACATCCACAACCTGAGCTACAAATCTACTCAAACCTTAGAGGTCTCTGACTTATTAACGAAAGTCACAAGTTACAGGAACTGCTGAACAAAAAAGCAAACCGTTTCTTTGGGCTCAAAGTAACTTACTGCAGTGAACAGAGAGCACATTTCTGGTAGCTAAATAGCTTCCCTGTATCGTGTTCACAGCCCCACTGTTGTTTCAGTTGCTCAAGAACTAATCACATGGTTGTTGATAGGCAGTAGGCCGTTGTCCATTGTCTTTGATAACTTGTCACTAGGCAACAGACTAATCAACTTTCAGTTGCCAACCAAAACTCCGTCTACATGTAATCCCTCAATCAATTACCGGTTGAACAAGCAGCTGCGGAAAAGACGGTTACTATGAGTATCAGCTTGCATTTAAAAAATGCAATAATCCTCCAGCCACCCTTGATTCTTTTTTTTTACAAGAACAGCTCTTCATTCATTTTAGCCCAGAATTAAACATACAGAAAATTAAAAATGGGTCGTTATATTGTAAAAGTCCATTTGGTTCACTTGGTCGTAGGGCCAACAATAACCTTCCCTCCAAAAGGTGAGAAGTAGAGATGATTGCACAATGTTCAGCATCATTCACAACTCCCCAGATACTGACAAAGTCCATGTGCAAGTGTACAATATCTAGGCTTGGGCTGGAAAATTGCAAGTAACATTCACACCACACAAATGCCAAGCAATTACCATCTCCAACAGAAGAAAATTCACCAACATTCAATGGTGTTATTATCACTGAATCCCCCACTGTTAACATGCTGGGGGTTATATGAACCTGAAACTCAACAGAACTCACCATTTAAATAATGGCTAAAAGCACAGGCCAGAGGCTAGGAATACTGCAGTCAGTAACAACTCCTGACTTCCCAAAGCCTGTACACCATCTATAAAGGTACAAATCAGGAGGGTGATGGAATACTTGCCTGGATGAGTACAGCTCCAAAAACATAAGCTCAACGTCCAAAACAGCCTTTTGTTTGGCTACACATCCACAAACATCCATTTCCTGCTCCAGTAATACACAAGTAGCAGCGGTGTGCATCATCTACAGGATGGATGGCATTGATTGCCAAAACACCCCCGAAGCAGCCAACTTGATTGGGACCATACCCACAAAAATCCACTTCCTCCACCCCAGATACTCAGTAGCAGCAGTGTGTACTATTTACAAGATACATTGCAGAAATTCACCAAAGATCCTGAGACAGCACTTTCCAAGCCCACAACCACTTCCAGCTGGAATGACGAGGTTAGCAGACACATAGGAACACTACCACCTGCAAGATCTTCTCCAAGCACTCACCATCCTGACTTGGAAATATATTGCTGTTTCTTTAGCATCACCTGGTCAAAATGCTGGAACTCCTTTCCTAATGACATTGTGGGTCTACCTTCAGCACGTGGACAGCAGCAGTTCAAGGCAGCAGATCACCACCACTTTCTCAAGGGCAACTAGAGATGGGCAATAAATGTTGTCCCAGCCAACCACTCCCAAATGAAAAAAAATCTTTTGGGTAAGGAAATCTGCCATCTTACCAGTGTCCAGCTTACAAGTGACTTCAGATCCACAACAACGCAGTTCACTCTTAACTGCCCTCTAAACAGTTCGGGATGAGCAACAAATGCTGCCCTAGCCAGCAATGTTCATATCCCACGAACAAATAAAAACTTTAATTGACAGCAGACGTACACCTACAGCGTGTGAAGTAAACAGGCTAAAATACTCCACAGATTCGGTGTAAGAAGGATCAGAATGATGTTAAAAGAACTTGATAGATTATGCTTCAATAATGCAGGGCAGTGGAGAGTCCACATCTGATGTTCTGTGCATTCTATTAGACATCTTACTTCAGGAAGATGTAAATGCATTGGAGCCAACTCAAAGATTTATTCGACTAAAATCTGAAATAGGTAGGTTGTCTTATGAGGAAAGGTTGGGCAGCTTCAGCTGGTATCTGTTGGAGTTTAGAACACTAAGATGAAGCTTGACTCAAGCACAGGATCCTGATGGGTCTTGACAGAGTAGATGTGGAGAGGATGTTCCTTATGGGAGAATCTAAACTTTGGTGTCACTGTTTAATAATTGGGCATCATTCTTTTAAAACAGCAATGACGTAAAATTTCCTTCTCTCAGAGTGGTGAGACTCAAGTTCTGCTTCCACCATTTTTTCAGGAAGTATCCTTGAAAATTTTTAAGACAGCGCTGGTTAGATTCTTACCAAGTATAGGGGTGAAAAGTTATCAGGGATAGGCAGGAATACAGATTAGTCACACTCTGATTGAATGACAGTGCAGGCTCAAGGGGTTGAATTGTTTCTCCTGCTCCAGATTTGTATGCGCGTATGCTGTATATAGTCTGTTGAATCTCCTAACCGGTCATAATCTTTGTGGAGTTAGACACTTTTTCTTGTAACTTTATACAGTCAGTAACTTTAGCCACAGATGGTGTATCCTTCCCCTACAGTTGTTCTTTCTCATGGGAAAAAGTCTTTACAGTGCTTTATGAAATATCTCCTTATATATCTGTCACTACAACTCTACTGATCTAATTTTCTTTCAGCCAATTCTATCTTCACACCCTCATTATTGTCCTTATTTAAATTTATATCACTAGTCTTAGACTCACTTCTCACTCTCTTAAATGGAATACAAAGTTCACTGTTAATAATCCTTATCATCTGGGGTGCCATTACAATGAGCGAACTAATTCATGCCATCTCATTACACATTACTAGAACTATGTAGCCTGCCCTCTGGTTAGCTCCACAACATGCTACTCAAAACAACTGGTTCAAAAACACTACGAACTTATAGACTGCCATTAACCACCTCATTCACCCAATGTAGATTAAAATCACCCATGATTACTTCTCAAACCCAATATTTCTTCCTGTATACCAGAGCCTACAGTGTTGTTACTGTTTGGGACCTACAAGTTCATTACGCATTTTTAAAAAATCTCTACCCAAACAAACTTCATATCTCAATCTTTAGAAAGAAGGTCATCTCTCACCATGTTATCCCAATTAATCATCTTTATCACCTTCTTCTTACCTTCTTGTTCTTCCAAATTGTCATGTACCTCAAATATAGTCATCTTGCAATCACGTCTGTTGTTGCTATCAGATGAAAACATTTATTTCTAAATCGAGCTCACAATTCAACTGTTCCATTATGTATGAGCATTGTATTTCAATACTTTTATTTACTTTTTATTATTTTTGCATCCTGTAGCATCATTGCTGGTGCACTCTTACATTTGAAAGCTGTCCTTTCCTGCCACGCATCTATTATCACGTTGCTCAGTTGCATTTGTCTCATCTTCTCTCTTCAATTTATTACATCTTCCCTCACTTGATCCCTTGCACCACTAACTTGTTTTAAAACCTCTTTGTATCACCCTAGCTATAGAAGATTTGTCAGAACACTGATCTAAAATTGTTCAGATGATAACTATTTCCCAGCAGCATAGCCACAGCATTCCACAGAACTGGTGGCAGCACCCCATCTGATCAAATAAAACTAAAATACTGTAGACATAAAAGCAAGTGCTGCAGGAACTTTGACCTGGCAGTATCTATGGACAGAAGCAGAGTTAAGATCACAAGTTCAATGACTACTTAAGCAAATAAATACCATAAATTTCTCAGCTCTGAATAATTCTGTGCAAGGGTCATAGGACTCAAAATATTAACTTAGTTTGTCTCCAGATACTGCCAGACCTGCTCAGTTTCTTCAGCACTTTCTGTTTTTACCCAAAGTATCAAAACTCATCTTCACCAGCCTTTGGCCAAGCATTCACTTTTCCAATTGTATTTACTCTCTGCCACTTTGCACACGGCTCAAGTAATAGTCCAAAAATTAATATCATCTTTGAGGTTCTGTTTCTAAATTTAGCTCTCAGCTTCTCGTATGTTCAAAACAGAAGTTCTTTCCTAGTCCTATGTAATTGGCATTTAGATGAAAAACAACAACTGGATACCCCCCCTTAAACTTTCATTTCCTCTCCTGCCCAGCACAAATATCCTGAACCCTAACATCTGACATTTAGAGATTGGGGCGAAGACCTAAAAAGTAAAACGTGATGATTTTGTATTTCATATACGTCGGCAAGTAGTGAACCATAGTACACTAGTGAGGGCACAAGTATAACTAAGTGGGCATTTGCGTAGGGATAGGAGCTTTGCACAAGATGGCCTTAACGGGTGCTCTGCCATGTAGCACAGGTAGTATATGGCAGAGCACCAATGAGCATTTGAGCTTGCCGGTGACAAACAATAGGGACTCAGCCTGAAGACTAAGATAATTAACAGGCGTAAACAATGGTGAAGTGAAGATGAATAATCTTTGATGGAAAGTATTATTAAAGGGCATTTTGTACACAAATAATTTCTGCGGCACTCACCATTTTGCGAACAGCTTCCCGCAATTTCTTCTCTTCCTCTATCATAATGATCATATCCTTATAGACAGCAGATGCTAAAGCTACATCCAGATCCTTAGACTTGGATGCCATCTTACAAATCATTTCATCGTGAGAGAAAACACAGTAACGATTCAGAAGACGATAATGTTCCACACACTGTCGGCCCATTGGTAGCTGCAAGACGAAGACATTTAGCAAACAGGACATATTTTTTAAAACGTAATTTGAGAATGCATTTTTAGAGTTCTATTGACAAAGGTAGAAGTGAGGACAAAGTTTTGGGCCACAGGTTGATGTTCACCATAAATATTAACATCTGCTGACTCCAAAGCATTTCTGCTTGTAATTTTGTAAACTAACCTTTCCTTGGTATGGTAACAAATATATTCAATTTAGTTATGGATCAAGATTTTGAAATATAAATTACCTTTTCCATAGGAAGATTCAGAGAGTCTTGCTTTGCATTTCATAGAATGCCAGCACTGTGGAAGCTGGCCATTCAGCCCATCGAGTCCACACTGACCCTCCAAAAAGCATCACACCCAGACCCTCCCCCTTACCCTATCCCTGTGACCCTGCATTTCCCATGGCTAACTCACTGAGCCTGCTCATCCCTGGACACGTTGGGCAATCTAGCACGGCCAACCCACCTAACCTGCACATCTTTGGACTATGGGAAGAAATCCATGCAAACATGGGGAGAATGTGTAAACTCCACACAGACAGTTGCCCGAAACTGGAATCGAACCTGGGTCCCTGGTGCTGTGAGGCAGCAGTACTAACCACTGAGTCACTGTGCTGCCCCAAATTTCCTCCATACATGCACCAAAAATTTGCACTTACCCAGTCCATCGTGCAGAAATTCACAGCTTCAGCAAAGTTGAAGCCCTGGTTAAAACCACTGTGATAGGCTCTGGGGAACGTGATGACAAACTCTCCTGCACACTGGTTAGTTCTATAAACCTGCAGTGAGAAAAGAAATTTAATCAATTTCAACAGACTGCAATCAACACTGAGGACAGTGCAAACCTGATTTATGCGTACAATTTTTTCAGTTAATGCTCTTTACAGAAGTAATTTCTGAAACAAATATTTGATAAATTAAAGCAGAATATGTATGAGAAAGTTAAAGGGATAATGTTTTCCACTAAATGTTGCAAAACTGAAAATTGTTCCACTACAGTATCAATTCAGCTTGATAAATTCAGTTTCAGACAAAAATTTCAGAAATTATTTGAACAGCCACAAACATATTCTGGCAATTAGTCAAGTATTTAACACAACACAGGACTACTTTATGGTTGGTACTCTGATGTTAACTTCTATCAATAATGTTATAAGTCACATTTACACATTTCTGAAATAAATTTACCAATAGCTCAGACTACCTTATAGTGCCAAATCCGCCTCCATCCCCTCCACCACCAAAGGGATTTTAAATTTTTCAAGTTTTCCTGTCTTTTTCAGAATAACTATGGTAATGAAACAAAACCGGAAGTTGTACAACACTTTATTTGCTATTACTAAGAAAATAATTATTCTGAACAGACATGTGTTATTGCTCAGAGTATCTCCTGGGAGTCAAAAGTTGCACCTATTTTAAAGTAAACCAAAGTAGTGAATCCTGACTTAATACTTAGAATAAGGGAGAACAGGGAGGTGATATTAAATACTTCCCCAGGTCTAGTTACTTAAATAGTAAAGTCATCTGCTAGCAACAAGCAATTGATCTTCAATTGATAGGCTGCTCAGTTCCTAATTATTAATTCTATTTTGAATAAATGTGCAATTTGGCTTTTTCCATACATTAGATAAAAAGTTGGTCAGCAGCAACATTGTATTGTGAAAGAAAGGAATCCTATCTGGCACCCGCCTTTCCTTTGCTCATGTTGATGTTCTGTATTATAATCACACAGACCTTATTCCAGTTCAACTCTCAATCTGCTGATTTGCGAGTGAAACACTATCCACCCATGTAAAATCTTTATTCAGTTCCATCATATAGACTTTCAATTTGTTTTTAAACTGAAACTGTACACAATTGTCAGGCAGATTTGTTCAGCAATTTTTCCAATGTTCCCTTTGTCACATTGACCATCTCTGCACAATTATCATTTTATTGGCAATGTAGTGATCACAGCAGGAAATGACTGACAAGCAGCATCTTAGTTAGTTGTCACCGTAGCATATTTAATGATTGGCACACCAGATGCCCAATCATTCAAAGTTTAGCCTTGGCCAGTGTTCTGTCAGCAAGCTATGAAATAAATAAACCAAAAACTTAAATAATGCAAGTTATTTTTATTTGTAGAACTGACTGGGAATTTTTAATTCTGTTAATGAAATATATCTGAAAAAAAAAACTAGTAACAACCAAGAAATTACCAATGTGTAATCAAAACCCAGGTTGACTAATGTTCTTTCATGAAATCCGTCATTCATACTCAGGCTGGCCCACATGTAAATTCAGATCAAAAACAATGCATTTCATCCTTAAATACCTTCAAAAAGTTCAGCAAGACACTCAACTGCATTCCAGAATGTGGCTCACCATAATCTCCAAGAGAATTTAGAATGGGCAAGAAATGCAGTATAGGTAGATGGCAGCCACACAGACTCAAAAGCAAGTGCCAGGATAGCTATAAAATGCTAATTTGCAAATTAACTACAGAGAAAGACAAAATGCAAAGCAAAAGCACATTAGAAATGGGGGAAATTCAAAAATATCTTTATTAAGAGCTGAATATGAATAGAAAAAGTGAGAAGCAGTGGAAAGGAAGATTAGTAGACAAGTGGAAGGACAGGCTTATGCACACACATACACAGCAAATGTTTACAAAAGTCAAAATACAAGTGAGAGAGGAATACACTTCCTTAGAATGTGAGGGACATTTGAAATATAGAGCAGCTCACAAATCTATTTACTGCACCAAAACCACGTTACAAACAGATATTAATACTGTATTTTACTGACACATTTAAGGCTACTTTCAAGGAGTTAAAAAATTACCATGCTTGCCAATACTGCCTTATATTTCAAACTACTGAAATAGTAGCTGGGCTGATAAATATTATTGATCTGTTACAAAGTAGACCAGTTTACAAAAAAAAACTGATTTATTCTTTAAATAAAAAGACTGCAGTCATTCATGAATGTGTATGCAAATTAATGTTGCACCTGCTAGGTGTTACTTCTGCTCTGGTTATCAAGAGGAGGAGGGACAAAGCAGGCATTTAGTATGAGATGGAAATTTTCCAATATTTTATCTCAATACACAAAAACCACTATACAATTCATTATTAGAATGAATAAACAAGAGACTGTCCAAATGTTAGTAGTACACAATTAGTCAGATTAAGGCAGCAAGTACCACAGTTGACGAGTGATCTACAAGGTTAACAGGTTATACAAACTGATCAAAAACTGGTAGAAATAGATGGCAAAGGGTACATGGAGATGGAACTTGCAAGGTAACCAGGTCTGCTTGGGATCAGTCCCAGTTCAGTTACTGGTTACAGTATGCCAAATTATGTTTGAAAGGTAGACAAGAAAGTAGCTTCACAGTTTTGTTTATTATTAGGCTAACTTGAGAAGGACGAGTAGAAAGGAACAAGCAGAAAAGAGAGCTGCTGAGGGATGGGCAAAATGTTGGCATAGCCAGCAAAACCCACATCCTAAGAAAAAACTAGCCACACACTTAGCCAAGTTGTTTTAACACAGTTACAAATACATTTACACAGCGTCCTGTCAACAAGCACAAAAAAGGATAAACCCAATTCATCTAATTGCCAGAAATAGTAAGAACTGCCAATGCTGGAGTCAGAGATAACAGTGTGAAGCTGGAGGAACACAGGAGGTCAGGCAGCATCAGAGGAGCAGGAAAGTTGACGTTTCAGGTTTTTTCTGAGGAAGGGTCCCGAACCGAAACATCAGTTTTCTTGCTCCTCTGATGCTGCCTGACCTGCGTTCCTCCAGCTCCACACTTATCAGCTGATTGCCACCTCATCATCCTAGTTTTGATCAAAGTCAGTGCCATCAACAAAGCAACTAAAATAAACACTTACTCCACAAGAAATTGCTCACCAATGGCCCAGACAGAACTAAACTTGCACTTGGCCTCAGACTCAGAATCAGGGGGAAAATAAAACACTGAATTCTAGAGATGGAGTAATAGTGACAATTCTTTGGCACCAAGGTAATATATGGATGAGTGAAACATCAAGAAACTCTAGCAAAAAAGTGAAGACAATGGGGAAAAACACTCCCAAGTTGGGAGTCATTCGAAAATGAAGCATGATTGTTGTGCTTGTTGGAGGCCATTCATCTCAGCCACAGCACATCTGCTGCAGAAATTCCTCAGAGTAGCATCCTAGTTCCAACAATTTTCATCTGCTTCCTCAAATATCTTCTCTTCATTTTAAGGTCAGAAACAAGATGTTTGCTGATGATTGTATAGTGTTGAGTATCATTCACATCTTCTCACATAACGAAGTAACCTATGCCCATCTGCAGTAAGACCTCAATTACATTCAGCTGATACATGGGAAATAACAATTACACAATAATTATGCAGCACAAAGTAATGATCACCTCCAATATGCAAGAATCCAATCATTCCCTCTTTACATTCAATGACATTACCATCATGAAATTTGCCACCATCAACATGCTGGAACAATACCAGCTACCAGAACCTTAACTGAACCAGCCAGGTAAATACTGTTGTCAGAGGCTGAGAATGTTGCAGCCAGTAGCTCACCACCTGTCCAGCATTTACAAGGCAACAAGCCAGGAATATAATTGAATAATTGCCTGGATGAATGCAACCAAGAAAAGCTGGTAACTTTGGTGTTAATGTAGGAGAATCAATAGCTGGAAATGATCTGGTTATGAAGGCATTGACAACAAAAAACATTATCAACAGTGTCACTGGTCCAAAAAACAAATAATGATAAAGACACTGAGACTGTCAGTGATTAGCAAATGCATGTGTCATTTTAATGAAGCTATTTCAGTGATAGAAACCAGATTTTTAAGTTATACACACGGGGCAACAGGAAAGACAAGTACAGACTTGCGTGATGACTATACTTCTAAGAAATTTCAGGAAAAGAAAGCTGGAGGTATGGCTTTCATTTACCAGGATAGATGAGTTCAAGAGTTTTTTTTTTGAGGAAGGGCACAGCCTGGACTAATTCTCCAGAGACCAGAGTTCAAATCCCACCATAGTAGCTAAGGGTATTTGAATTAATTTAATGAATAACCCTGGAATGAAAAAAAAAATCTGATCAGTAATCATGATCTTGAAGCTACAGAATTGTGGTTAAAAAACCCATCTGATTCCTTAATGTTCTTCCTAGGAGGAAATCGGGACCTTATGCAGTTAACTCTACGATGTGAGATAACCACTTAATTGGTAGAAGAGTCAAATAAGCACTTTGGATATACCCACAACAAAAATAAATCTTGATTACATGATTTGAAAATGCAGATCACCACTTGCACAGGGCAATTAGGAATGGGTAATAAAATGCTGACACCACACCCCAAGAACAAATTTTTAATAAATGGGTAGATGGGAGGGCCAAACATCTGACAAGGAATCACTGACATTAGGATTTATTGAAGTGGATATACAGCCATGGCAAAAAAGGCAAGTCTTCTGGACAAGGTGAGCTCACAGAAGGCAAAGGCACACGGACACATTTATTCAACTGGGGGCGGGGAGAAAGAGGAGCGCTTTATACTTGAAGATAAACACACAGGAGACAGCAGTGGACTGCTGGTAGTGGATAAAAGAAGTCAGAGGTTAATCATAGACATGGAGCTGTCAATGGCTTGGTAAAGCAAAACAAGACCGGGTCTGATGTCAATAAATGGCGAAATGGCGTCTCAGTGACATCATCAAGATGGTGGCGAAGTAGAGCTCCAAATCTGGAGCTTGTCCGCTCTGACTACTTTTCTTTTTCTTTTACCTCTTGTCCTGAGATCGGACAGCAGCGGTGGGGGTGAGAGAGATCCCAGCGCTGACCTCATGGCGGCAGTGAGTGAGTCCAGTGTGGACCTTGAGGCAGCAGCGAGTGAGCCCTTACTTTTCCAGGGCGAGCACAGGACCTTGTATCGGAATCGGTGGAGGTGACATTGGAAAGGTAGGCCCAGTGGTGAAAGATGGCACCTGAGGATTGGCAACTTCGTCAGTTGGGTCCAGCACTGGCAGTGAAGCGGTGGCAGAAGGGCATCATGGCAACATTGACAAAAGGTAGGCCCAGCAGTGAGAGATGCGACTGATATTGGTGGGTCCAGCACAGACAGCAGCAAGGCAGCGGAGGAAGAGCATCAGCCCAGTGGCGAAAGATGACACCTGGGAGTGGTGACTTCAACGTTGGTTGGCAGTGAGGCTGTGGAGGGGGAGATGGCAGCGCAGGCATCATTGATGGTGAGCTGGATCAGGTCTGATGGCGTCTCTAACGATATCGTTTTTTTCTTATTCTTAGACTGTTCAAAATGGCACCAGATCATGTGACAGTGAAAAAGCTTTTCACAATGTTTATTTTTCTCATTTTAAATGACACATAATTCATATTCACAAAAAAAAAATTGGCAGGTGTACGCAGGATATGCTCAAGGGAGCAAAGTTCATGAGGAAGAGGAATAATTCCCAGAATGGGAGAGAGTAAAGGCTATACCAGGAATTACAACATTAAAGATGAAGCTGAAGGAGCACCTAAGATAATCAACAGCTGTATATTATTGTGGCAACTGGAACAGTCAGTTGCAACTGCACCTGGGAGAGACTGTATTCCAAGGGCAAATGCAGAAAGTGGGACTGGCATAAAGTCTAGTGCAAAGTACAGACAGCTGTGAAGACCAACAGCATTAACTGATCTTTAGATAGCAAGTGTGAGGCAGAGGTGCCATGTACAAGGATAAAAGCTGATATGAAGATAACAATTAAAGAAAGATAGTTGGGCATGAAATCAGAGAAGATCACTTTCAAAGATCAAGGAGTTTCTTCATGGAGATTGAAGATTCTGAAGGAGGAGTATGGAAGGTTAAAATCACAAATTCTACTCAAAGGCAACAATTCACACTCAAAATGTAGATAACTTGAGGGTTTAAAGCAGTAGAATGAAGGAACAAAGGATAAGTAATCGGTGGGGTTGGGGTGTTTTGTGGAAGGCATCATATTATGTGATCAGTGATCGATGGGTCGATGTGGCTCATCATGCCACCACGGTTTTGAAAGGGTAGGTGAAGTAAACATAAAAAGGCAGGAAGTGATGATGTCATCATCTGGAATACAAATTTCTGTCAAATTAATAATATCATCCACAATGAAGGTCATGGCCAATGATGACGCTAAAAAACAGACAACTGTAGAAGAACATGAGAAGATGACTCTCGATTCACTGTCATTGTCCAAAGAGACAGGGATAGGTGAAACGATCGGAACAGGAAGGATTTTAGCAAGAACAACCTCCTTTGGACCTGGTGGGCACAAAGATTAGGAAGAAGGGCCAATAGAACAGCTAGCATTACTTTCTTAATTAGGTAGCAAAAGATGCCTCCTACTGCAAAGGCGATTCAAATTTGTAATATATTTGGAGAGCAGGCAGAGTAGTAGTGATGGATTGGAATAGGCATTGATAGCTAATCTCAACAATAGAAAAAACAAAGAACACGATGGACAAAATCGAGAGAACACAAGGACAATCAAAGGAAGCAAAACAGAAGGTGGTACAGGCTCATGTTTAGGCAAAAATAGTGCCATTAGAGGAGATTCAGATTACACACATGCTAATGATTAAAAGAGCTTTGTCTTGTTTGTAGATAGGGAGATACTGAGATAACACAGATTTCAAACTCCTGTGGTGGGGTGAAATAGAATTCTATACACAGTGGAGTCACATCTTAAAGCATCAATGAACCAATAATGAGGTATGGAGGGAGACTGAATAGAGTTGCTGTTTGAGGGGCATTATATCTGACAACTATCAATAACTTTATAAAGAGGAAGGAAGAACACATGGAATGAAAAATGCCTTCCACTGGGAAGTTCACATCAACAAAATTCAAGCAAACTGGATAAGTGTCCGTAGTGATTAGTTGGTGCATAGTGTGAAGATCCTCATAGAAACTGCAATCAATGGACAGGCAGCAGTTGTATTTCTTGGTGCCCTACATTCACATGCTTCCAAGTTAAACAGAACTACTAAATTCTAAGGATAATGTTGAAATATTGCATAAAAGGCTTTAATTTGGAAGCAAAAATAAGTACGATTGTGAACTATTGTACACAACTGAGACATGACCTTTCCCTAATAAGAGACCAGCATTTCAACATCATCATTAGGGATCCATCAAATCCACTATCAATTCAGGAACTCCAATGGTATACAAAGCTGGTCTGAATAGACATTGAACAAATTATATATTGTACTTTTAAAAGCAAAGGGCACAAGAAACAACAGTTTCCCTACCTGTGGCAGAGGTTCAAGTCCCATCTGCTCCAGAGTGTGCCATAACATGCCTGTACAGGTTGATTGAAAATATCTAATTTGTTCAATAAATCTCAAGATCTGGCCATCTTTCAACAACAACTTGGGGGTATGACACATCTTCAAATTATCCGAGTACACAGTTTTAAAATTCAAGATTGAATACAGCAAAGACATTTGTCCAAAATGAGTGCTGCACAAATGGATGCAGAAATGCAAGTGATCAAATTTCATACCTACTCTCCACTGTTTCAGCCTTTTGATTACCGTGTACCTGGAGACAACCAAATGCTTAAGGAAAGTTTTGCCGTCAAACATATGTTTAAACGCAAGGGTTGGGAAGATACTTTCATTCAGAAACATACCCATTTCTATTTATTTGGATAATGGATAACTTATGCAGCAATATCAAAAGACCTTTTTAAGTCTCAAATATTAGCTGTCCTTCAATATAAGTGGATATTAAAGTTTCAATATATAGTATCTACTAGTTTTATAGATTATTCTATATTGTGAGCTCCAGCCAGGAGGTGGTCCACAATATTTCAACATGTTAGGAAATGAGGCAACGCAAAAGATTAAATCAAGTATCAGGTGACAACTATGTTACAAAAGCTTTAGCAGAAGCCCCAAAAAGGTTACAGACGAATTTATTCACAGGTATTTCAGAAAAATGAAATACTAACTACAGCCTGCTCTAAGCCACATGTGAAGGTTCTGAGGAAGGGTCATTGGACCCGAAATGTTAACTCGGAATTTTTTCTTCAGAGATGCTGCCAGATCTGCTGAGCTTTTCCAGCAACTTCTGTTTTGTTCCTGATTTACAACATCCGCAGTTCTTTTGGTTTTTATTTTGTGAAGATTAATACTTTGCCAAAATAAAGAGACTACAACATGCTATAAAATAAGATGCTAGTTATCAGATTATTTCAAAACAAAGTTAATATTTATTAAAAATAAGTGATCCAAACATTGGAAATTCACTTTGTACTATAGGCTGCTTTAAAAAAAGTTAACTTATTGTGCAATATTTGTATCGCCTCTAGATAGGTCAAAAATACTGAAATTTCTGTTGTTTCTTTGCTCAAGTGCCAGACTGCATTACTGTACAGCTCTGAACTGGGCTGTTTTGCAACTGAGCACAAGGTCTCTTGAGATGAAGTGGGATGTAGCTTCAACTATTTAATTGATGGATCTTAATCTTGAAGGATACAAACTTCAAAACATCCTTGCATATAGAAAAGGTAAGATTATACATCAAAAATTGAAATCATGCTATTTCAATTTTGCTGCACTTCAATCAGTTACTGACAAAACTGAACATTGTTCAATCCAAACTTTCAAGGATGGCAACACCAAAGCTGAATTAGGGTAAATAGAGCAAATTTGGAGTGCAAAGAAATTAGACACTAAAGAGCAAACCAGTGCAAAAGCAGAGTCCAAAGGGACAAACGTATTTCATTTTAAAGCAGCATATAGGAGAAGACAAGAGACTTAACATTTAATAAGTCCTTTTCAAGCCTTCAGGGTGTCCCAAACCACTTCACAACCAATTAAATATTTCTGAAACAGGTCACTTAATACAGTGAGTACATTTGGAAAATGAAACTCATTTAGAGATGGGTCAAAAAAGCACCTGAACAACATGTAGAATGCAGCTCAGATAATTTCAGGTATTTTTTCCACGACTCAAACACAGTCAAACAAAGGTACAGCAAAAAAATTCTTGTCTTTCATTTCATAATATACTGGTGGAAAACGTTTAAAAAATCTTAATTTTATTAAAAATGAAATGTGAGTATTATAGCTTTACTGTTGAATATTGCCACTATTTGGGGTTGGAGTGGAAAAAAAAGGATGTGCAAAATAATCCTAAGTACTGTAGGAACGACATCTTTGTTAACCACAAAGAAATACTATAGTAATGTATAAAGGGAGTGTTAATTCAGTCAGGTTATTTACTCTGCTAAAAGAATAAATTATGCATGGCAAGTACTGCAATGAAAATTATCCAACATATTTTATTCAATGGATATAAAAATATACTGTAATATTCAATAACTCTCAAAAGAAGTTGCCAACTTTTCTCAACTTTACTGGGATTTTCCAACACCATGGCTTGTTTTTTTTTCAAAAAAATCCTCTAATGTCATACTCCTCAAACAAATAAGTCCATGTTGTAAATCCATTTTTTAAAGCTTTACACTAAATGGACAATGCTAGGTGCATTACTGGTAATCCCTCATTAAAATATAAAATCTAAAGTTTGAAATCAGGGCCTCGGGGCTCCAAGGAGATCTGCAATACGTACTGGCACTCCGTGAGCCATCAGAGTGTTAGGGTTCATGATGGTGACCAGCTGATGCAGAAGGTCAGGCTGGGATTCAAACAGCTCAGGCGCCAGTCTCTTCATAACATTCTCCAGCTGTTCTGCCACGTATGCTGGTGCTCCATACCATGTCTTAGGTTCTCCCCTAATTAGTTTTAAAAGAAAGTTAGAATCCATGAACTTGAGATTATCAAGCACTGTTTATGGAAATCTGATCAAAGCTACATAAGCAAGCTCTACCAGGAGTATTTTATTAAATAACTGACAGGTGGCAGTAGGTATAAAAAAAATTTTCTAAGAGCAACGTATAATTTCCATCCTTTGTTCACAACACTAGCTATATCTACGAGCGCACCCAGTTTGGCCCATGGCCAAAAATAGTAAAAAAATCTGTAATATACAGTTGTCAATATCTGTAAAGATAAGTGATAAGGCAGTGGTACAGGCAGAGCCCTTCAGAACTGCAAACTGAAAAAACAAATAATCATTATTAAAAAATCAGAAAAAAGGGATACAAGAGAACAGAAATGCTTATCAAGAAAGGCAAACATTTAGAGGTTACTCAGTCTGACACATCAAACATTCATGTGTGATCGGAAAAACAATCTTTCTCACAGCAATTTTTTCTGATTTCAGTAATGAGTTATTTTCTTTTCCAACTCTCATGGCTTCTGCCTTTAGGGTGCATTTCTATTATGTATTTATAATTCAGGATTATACTAGCTCAAGATCTGCAAACGTATTGGAGCAATAAATCAACAGGCCTCGGAATATCAGTGAGCAAAGACACATCAAGCTACAGCAAAGGAAGCAAGTCAACAGTCAGTTCAGCTATGTTGAGTGTCAAGAGTAAGGAAAGTCTGGATGGTCTTTACTTTAAATACTAGGAGTGTAATAGGTAGGACTGATAAGTTCATGGCATGGATTGACAGTTGGAAGTACGATTACTGCTGCCATCACAGAAACATAGTTGAGGGAAGGCTGGACTGGCAACTCAACATTCCGGGTATAAGATCTTTAGGTAAGACAGAGGAGGGTGTAAAAAGGGTGGTAGTGTAGCACTATTGATTAATCAGTCATATACCGCAAAAAGGACAGATGATATTTCAGAAGGTCCTCAAATAAGGTTTTGTGGGTAGAATTTAGGAATCTTAAGTTGGCAGCCACTTTGCTGGGAGCGTACTATAGGCCCTCAAAGAATCAGCAGGAAGTAGACGAACAAATACACAGACAGTTCACAGAGGCGTATTACTATAATATTCGGATGATTATACTGGATTTCAACTTTCCCAATATAAATTTGAATAGTCATACTGTTGGAGGGTTAAGGGTTTAGAGGCGTGGATTTCCTGAAACGTATCCAGGTGAGTTTTTTGTATCAATATGTAGAAGGCCCAACAAGGGATAGCACAGTGCTGGATCTGGTTCTGGGGAAAGAAGCTGGGCAAATATTTGATGTGGCAGTGGAAGAACATTTTAGCAATATAGCAACCAAAATATACTAAAGTTCCAATTTGTTCTGGACAAGAAAAAGATGGCCTGTAAAAGATGGCTGTAGATTTTTGGGGCGAGGGCGTTTATTAAAATAAAACAGGATCTGGCCACAGTTGGCTGGGAATAGCTCCTTGTGGGAAAATCTACAGCAGAGCAGTGGGGGGGAGGGGGGCATTCAAAAGATCCAACATGCATCTTTTAGAGGAACTGTAAAAGCAAGAAGTTCAGAGAACCCTATATGTCTAGGAGAGTTCAGGACTGGATGGGGAAGAGAAGGGCTTTAAGCAAATCCAAAGGGAGCAATTCAGCTGCTCTCCTAGAAGAATACAGGAAGTGCAGGAGGGAATACAAGAAAGCAATTTAGAAGGGCAAAAACAGGGCACAAGAAAGGACTTGCAAACAGAATAAGAGAGAACCTTAAGATATTTTATAAAGGGAGCAGGTTAACCAGGGGAAAAGGTAGCACCCATTAGGGACCAAGGAGTCAACCAGCGTGCGAAGCCGCAATATATTGGAAGGGTGTTGATGAATATTTCCCTTCAGTCTTCACTCTGGAAAAGGAGAACATAAGTATGAGATAAAGGAGAACATAAGTATGAGATTCAGGAAAACAGGCTATGAGGAACTTGGACACTTTGACACAGGAAATGGGGATGTTTGGAGGCTCTGCCAGGCTTAAAAATGGACAAGATCCCAAATGAATTGCATCCCAGGCTGTTGTGGGACGTGAGGCAGGAAACTGCAGGGGTTCCGTCCACAAATTTTTAATTCCTCTCTGGCCGTGCAGGAGGTAAGGACTGCTGGAGGAATCTTGGAGACAACTAGTGTGGTTCCACTTTTCAAGAAACAGAAAATTATAGACCAATGAGTCTCACATCAGTGGCAGGGAAGTTACTGGGAGAAAATTCTGAAGGAGCGATAATACACACTGGGAAAGCCATGGAAAGTCATGTCTGACAAATCTGTTAGAATTTTTTGAAAATGTGATCAAGTGTGTAGATGAGGGCAGTTCTATCAATGTGGTTTATATGGATTCTAGCAAAGCTTCTAACAAGGTGCCACATGGGGGGGAACTGAGAAGATTAAAGCACATGGAACGGAGGGAATCTTGGCAAGGTGGATCAGAAATTGGCTCAGTAATAGAACACAAAGGGTAGTGGTAGAAGGCTGTTTGAGTGACTGGTGTCCAGCAGTGTACCATAAGGATCAGTACTGGAACCCTCATTGTTTGTTATAGATGAAAATGTGCAGGGCATGTTAAGCAAATTTGCAGGTGACATCAAGCTTGGTGGAGTGGTTAATAGTGAAGAAGATGGTTGTAGGTTACAGGAAGACACAGATGGGCAGACAAGTAGCAGATGGTATTTAACCCTGACAAGGGTGAGGTGATGCACTTTAGTAGAAGAAACAAGATGAGGGGAGTATTTAATGAATGGCAGCACATTGGATAGCTTAGAAGAACAGAGGATCTTGAGGTAATGTTTCACAGGTCCCTGAAGTCATCAGAGCACATGAATAGGATAGTTGAGAAGGCATATTAAACACTTGCATTCAGTAGTCATGGCACAGAGTATAAGAGCAAGAAGGTAATGTTGGAGTTGTGCAGAGCATTGGTGGAGCCACAGCTGGAGTACTGTGAGCAGTTCTGGTCACCTCATCTACAGGAAGATATGACAGCACTAGAGAGCATACAGAGAATGTTCACTCGGACGTTGCCCGAGATGAATAAACTGAACTATAAAGACAGACTAGACAGGCTTGGATTATTTTCTTTAGAGGAGAGAACACTGAGGGGGGAAATGGGAGTGCATGGTTGAGGTGTATAACATTAGGAGGGGGATGGACAGAATAAATAGAACAATGTTCTCTGTGGTTGTGGGGTCAGTCATGAGAGGGCACAGTATTAGGGTAAGGGTCAGGAGATTCAGAAAGGATTTGGGGAAAAATAATCTTTTTCACTCAGCAGGTGGTGGGAATCTGGAAATGCACTCCTGGACAAGTAGTGGAGGCCAGAAACCTTATAATGAACACTTGAGATAGTAGAACATTCAGGGACATAGGGCAAGTATATGAAATTGGGATTCGCACACCTTTAGTGGCGGTTATGTCAGTGCAAACTCAATAGACCAAAAGGGCCTTTTCTGACTGTATGAATCTATGAATTGTGGTTCCTCACTACAGAAAGGAAGCAAGGGGAGTGTGCACAAAGCCAAAAAGACAGAGACTGGCACAGAGACAGTCTGTGCGAGAGACCGAGCTTGAACAAGACAGCGAGGACAGAAAAAGCATCCATGTGAAAAAGAGAGTGCAAGAAACAGCATGGGCACACAAGAGGGCACAAGTGGGAGACGGCATAAGCAAAAAAGAGAAAGAGAGGAAAAGCGAGAATAAACAACGAAACAAAGTGACAGAGAGGGAGAGCAAGAGAAAAAGGAGGAAGAGTGAAGGGGGAAAAGAGGGAGGGAAGGAGAAAGAAGGAGAAAAAAAAAGAGGAGGAGACATTATGGGGTGGGGGGTGGGAATTGGAAAGAGGGGACAAGCAGCTTGAAAGTGGAGGGCCACAATGACTAAGTTTAGTAATGGATTTCCTACAACCCGCACCATTATTAGTGTACTGGAAGTAAATATATAGAACTGAGAAAATTAATTCACTGAGGTTTCCCATGCTGCTTCCGTTGGGAACTATAACTGATGTCACCAACAGACCACAAGACTTAATCTATCCTTGCTAAAACTCTGGTACCCAATGCAAACTGGTGCAAATGGATGCTGCAAAGCTGTATCGGAAGCAAGCAAATTCTCTGCGACCTGTCAGCAATCAATAGTTGTACTAATATAACGATTTACTACCAATTTGACTTACCTTTAAAAGGTAGCCAATAACATATTGGCCACAACTGATTAAGAAAAAAATAAAGAATATTCAACTCCTTAAAACAATCCCTTTAAAACTCTGAGTGTTAAGCATAACAGCTGAACTATCTGAACTGAACTCCCTATCCTTCAATCATCTAAACACCATAATATCTATCGACCAGTCTTCAACATGCTCAACAGTAAACACCCACACCTCTGTAGTGTAGAGGATTCCAAAGATTTAAAATCCTTTGAGTCGAGAAATTTCCCATTGTAATTCTCCCTCTTTCTCTCTTGTTCCTTCCTTCTCTCGCAAATTCTAGTTTGCCTAGTCAGGCAAAATGATCTTGCAGCATCAACTAATCAGCTTCTCTAAAAGCTCGGATGTTTCACCTCTCTTTTCATTAAGTTATAGGTTTATGCTACTTTCTTTCCAAGGATAACAATTTCATCCCAGGAATCCAGCCAGTAAGCCAATGCTGCAGTCGCTGCAAGGCAAATATATCCTTCCATTGGTAAAAAGCCCAAAACCTTAAACAGTTCTTCAGATTGATCAAACCAAAATTCTAAACATAGTATTTAATTTCACTTAAGAACATATAAATTAGGAGTATGATTAGACCAATCAGCCCTTTGAGCCTGATCCACTGTTCATCAAGATTCAGGAGGGTAGTTACTAGTTGCAGGATTTGTAGCCTTCAACCTGGTCCTGATAAAATTCTGAGACAATCTAAGGGGCACAAATAGGGTAAACAGGAAGAAACCTTTCCCCTTGATGGAGGGATCAATGACCGG